TTCCCGCTCTTTCAGTCGCTCCTCATTTTTAAAGAGCAGCGTTTCGAAAGGATCGCTTGAGCAGGAAACACCTTTTGCAATCCTGAGCTGCTGCAAATCCGAAGTGTCAGAGAATGAAACAGAGCCGACTGGGTCACGAGTGAAAGTGAAAGAGACTGAGGATAATAAGGACCAGGTGACAGGGTTGTGGCAGAGAGAAAGACATTTTCAGAGGCCAACAACACTTTTAATGATGGTGTACATTATCTCACAAAAAGCAACTGCCTTCAGCAGAAACTTCTTATAGAATGTGTATTGCATTGTGCTGCACACAGCATTGAAACTATTACTAGAATCTTTAATAGAGAGTCTTGGCATTCATTCTGCATTATAATTCATCTCAAAGGTACATTGTATTGAACTGTGGTCTGCATTGTCTTCCACAATGCAAAACATTTGCATGTCTTGCAATCACACACATTCTTCTGCAACTGGTTTATGAATTTTGTGAGTCGTTTAGGTCGTGTTCTGCATATTCTGTTGGCTGCCTGTAGCATTTATCCCCTGACAAAGTTCCAGAAGGTTCTCGAGGTCCTAGTTTGGAGGAATTAAATGTTAAACCAGGCTTTTGGATGTCCTTACACAGCCTTCACCAAGAGAATACACACACTAGACAAGTTGAAATGCCCTCTGAAATCTATGCCCATATAATCCTGTTTGTTGGTCAGTAATTTGTCTCTCTCTAACATGCGCACCGGTTTTCCCTAATGTGATTTACGTAGGGGCATGTATGTAAATTACGCCAATCAGTACCCGCTCCCTCGGCCTTGTCAGAGGAAATGATTCCCTGACTGTATGAGATTGTTAAAGCCGCAGTGCTGTGCAGTATCTATGCCCGGCTCTTTGTGCCCTCTCTGTGAATTCTACCGTCTCCCAAATTCAGGTTACCCCAGCGCTTCTTCAGATTACCCCAGCGCTTCTTCAGATTACACCATTTGTGCTTCTTTAACAGTCCTTTTGATCTGCACTTAGTTTTCTCTCCAGCCCCAGCAAAAACAGGTCCATCCTTCCTCACCAAAATCTGGACAGGACACAATCTGCCCCCTCCCACCAGGTCTGCACTGTCGTGGGCTTAAATGGTAACATCGTTTAGAAAAAAAAACAGCTGAAAATGCTTTAGGAGCCTAGCAGTGCCGTGTGAACCAGATATTTCCTGTTTTTAATTAATTTTCTAGTGTTGATCAGCTAGTAGAGGAGTGTAGGGTAACTGTGAAATGTAAATATGCTCAGGGCTGCCACATGAGAATACATAACCACAACAAATCAGTTCATGGGAAAGGCTTACAGTACTAACTCATTACCATAGCAGGTATGACGAGCAGTGAAGGGTTAAGAATTACAGTAATAGGTATATCGTGATATTTTCTTATTTTGTGCTATTTATCATCTGCGTTACTCTTCCTGTTGTCATTATTGTCCAATGTCGTTACCCAACGTTATGTTTTGGCAATGTAGTGTCTGCAGGAGTCTTGTGAGTGAGCATCTCTTTGTACTGAACGTTTCATGCAGTAAAGTTGAACTTTGGTAAGGCATTACGGTAGAGGGCAGTGGTAATGGAAAGGGGTTGCATTGTTAGGTGCAGGATGATGGATTACAGCGACATGTCTGTGATGCAGTAATCATGTCACAGTGATGGATTACACTAATAGGGTTAGGGTCCATCGTAAGGAATTATTGTAATAGGTCTATAGTAAGAGATCACAATAATAGGTTTAGGGTAGAGAATTACAATTATAGGTCTATTCTATTAAAGTAATAGGTTTACAGTTAGGGGCTATAGTAATAGGTACTAAAGTAGCAGGTCCATAGTAAGAGATTACATTGAGCATTAGGCTGAACTCCAGGTCCTCTGTGAGCATTTGCACTTTAATTAAACTTTAATGGTCTCCCAATCTCATTGCACTCTTATTACTGCAGGGGCCAAATGCGCTACTGCTGTCACCTTGCTTAAAATGCAGGATCAGCACCGCAGCCCCAATGCAGCCCGAAACACTCGGCACCTGTGCGGCTCTCTGTCTGCAGATGTGGTTTCACGTGCACAGCTGGACTGATGGCGAGGCCTGGTACTCCCACCTCGCACGAGGGAGGAGGTAGAAAACGGCTGGCGGTGCCTTATCAGTATGACAGCCCCTCCCGGCCAGGCCAGCATGCGTATCTCCAGCTCTGCTGCCCCCCCACCCCCCACCCCGGCCCACACTTCCCAGAGTCCCCCATCACTGGCTAATCAGATAGGATTTGCACGGTCCGCTTGGCAAGCACTGACTCAGGTGAGTCATGACAGGATCAGCAGCAAAGACTCGTGCTTCTCTGCCCCCCCCCTTACTGCCACTGTGTGATGCCCAGTGTCCCCCCAGCACTCAGCTGGGCTGGATGTGGACGAGAGGTGCCCCCTCCCTCCGTAATGTTGTTCTGAAAAAGGGGGCCCCATGTTGACTGAAAAAAGCTCCCCCCCCCCACCACCCTCCCCATGACTCTGTGGTGGAAAGATAAATAATAAATATATTTTCAAAATCTTGTTTATTTCTTATGAGCTTTTCATTTTTAATTTTTAAGTTTGATTAAAATAGTCCTCAGTTTGAAACCACATTTATATAAGCAAGCCTGGGAACAGCTAAGCGAGGTCCTGATTTAAATAATTAGCTTGAAATTAAGATCCTCTTTCTGGGTCTCCTAGATGATTGTGTCACAGAATGACAGCCGAGTCAAAATGCACTGGATGAGCTGAAGAGACTGAGGAGACTTGATGCCCGGAGCCACAGCTAGATACATCTTCCCAGTGCTTAGGGCCGTCCAGTGTAAGCTGGTCCAGTGATACTGTGCTGAGCTCAGAGCTTATCGCAGGAGGCCTAGAGCAGTGTTTCCCAAAGGGGTCCTTCGGGACCCCCCAGACAGCCCACGTTTTTGCTTCCTTCCAGCCCACGTTTTTGCTTCCTTCCAGCCCACGTTTTTGCTTCCTTCCAGCCCACGTTTTTGCTTCCTTCCAGCCCACGTTTTTGATTCCTTCCAGCCCACGTTTTTGCTTCCTTCCAGCCCACGTTTTTGATTCCTTCCAGCTCCAGGTGGACTGCCTGGGTTGGGAAACACTGGCCTGGACCACGGAGCAGGAGACACCCTGGATGGGATGTCAGTCCTTCACAGGACACACACACACACAAGGCAGAGATGCCAGATTCTCTAAGTCACATGCAAAGACAGAAAGGGCATATAAATGGACTGTGGATAGAAGCGAGGGTGTGTGCTGAGGGAGCGTGGACATTAGCAGAGAGGTCGATGGTGGTAAGATGTGGAACAGTGTATATGTGCAGTGTATATATGTGCAGTGTATATGTGCAGTGTATATATGTGCATGGTAGATTCTCACCTCAGCATGGGGAATACAACTGGTCGCTCATTTAGACCTGAGAGGTGGTTTTCAGCTCAGCAGAGGGAAAAGCCCAGAGAGACACCGACTGAGAGTTTTTCTACTGCTGGAGGATGTGTGTCTTTATTTTGCATATTTTTGTCTGTCTTAAACTTGATTCTCGTCTGTGTCTATATTCTTGAGGGAGTTAGCTGACGAGCTTCATTTTAATGAAAAGTAATCTTTGGCGTTTGATAGCTCTGCTCAGCTAGTGAGGGACACCCTGAGAACTTAGAGGAATGTTTCAGTAAGATCTCCAGGGTGACGTCGGAATGCGAATTGAACCTAAGCATTTTTAGAATGTGGTAGAACATCACCTGAAAGGGAGGAATACTTTTTCGGAATGGTGAGGCGTGTCGTCATTGTGCTTTGTTAGCTTGATGTCTTTTCATGAGATGGAATTTTGCAGGTTTGTTATGGGATATTTTATAGCAAATAACGTAATAATCTCATGCCACAAACTGGGGAACGATGACAGAGAAAGGTCAATGAAAATGACATTTAAAAAGACGTACATTTTAAAAAGACTATAACGTGAAATGTGTTGGTGCCCGTCTCCAAATGCACCTCCTCGCCATGACAACCACATTTAACAAAACACGTTGTTTCCTCAAGGGCTGGGCAAAGAGAATGGGGGTGTGGGGGGGTGCATTTGTAGAACAGCGTGTGCTATAGACAGCTAATATGTGCACTAGGCATCGAGCCCAGTGGAGGAAATGGAGACGCACTAAGCTAAGGGTAAATGACATCTTAACTTCAATGAGCCTAAAAGCAGAGGCATGTCGTTGTCGGTGGAGGGGGGGGGGGGGGGGGGGGAGACGGCCTTGGCAAGATGCTAACGTCGGACTAGCCCTGAGGTCTCATGGAGTGGCTAGTGGTGCGAGACCCCCCCACAGGGACCACCTGCCATGGCAGATGAATGGAGACAGCAAAGGGCGGGGGGGGGGGGAATGCAGAAGAGTTAAATGTGGGATGATGGGACCCTCCCTTTGCTCATGCCGCTCTCGTTCACGCACACACACACACGTGCGCACACGCTGCTCACTGCTTCACACACACACTCACACACACTCTCCTCCCAATTATTCAGCCAAAGCTCTTCAGCGGTCTGATACACGTACGCCAGCACACTCGCACATGTACAAAATCCCCGTGCCTCACTCCCCCACTCGCTCTCTCTCTCTCTCTCTCCGTCTCTCTCTCTCTTTCTCTCTGCCTCTCTTTCCCTCCATCTCCCCCTCACTCTCTGCCATCTCATTTCTTTGTTTTCTTTCTTGCCGTGTAGCGGAATCTTCATACATTTTTGCTGCTTTTTTTGTTGCCTGCCGCCTTTGTTTTTGTTTCATTCCTCCACCTTCAGACGCCGGAGGATCCCTCATCCCCTCCGATCCCCGCTTTCCCTCCATCTTCTTCCCGCCGGTGTCTGTGTCTCCTCTTTTGTTTCTTCCTCTTGCCTTCCGTCCCCGGAATTCCGCTCTGGCTTCTCCCATGCTTCCCGGCTCCCCGTGCGAGGACACGCCTCAGACCCTCGGCTGAACCTGGGACCATGTTCTACTTCCAGCTGGTGATCATGGCCGGCACCGTGCTCCTGGCTTACTACTTCGAGTACACAGACACCTTCCCCGTGCACGTCCAGGGCTTCTTCTGCTACGACCGGACGCTCTCCAAGCCGTACCCAGGGCCCGAGGACAGCAGCAAGGTGCCCCCGGTGCTGGTCTACTCCCTGGTCACCGCCATCCCAACCGTCACGGTAAGACGGCCACTGCCGACTTCCCCCGCACGTTGTGCGAGGATGGAGTGAGAGAGAGGGGTGGCGAGCGGGCATGCGAGCACGTGCACGTCATGTTTGTGATGGTGTGCGCTTGTACGGTTTCACCGGCGTGTTTCGGCGTGTGTGGAGAGAGAGGAGCACAAGACGGTTAGAGATGAAGCTTCTCATCGCTTGGTCCGGACTCCTCTGCTCCGTGCGCGGATAAGTGAGTCGGTGTCCGCTATTCCTCAATTAACTCTTCTTCTGGGGGGGGGGGGGGAATCAGGGGAACAGATTGACAGAAAGGCAAGTCCCTAATGTGCACAGAAGGGGCATCAAGTCTGGAGGCTTAGCGGATAAGCCAGGGAGAGTGGTGTGGGGGGGGGGGGTGCAGCCGATGACCGACGTGCCGCTGGGCGGCTGGCAGAGCCGGCAGACGTGGAAGGTGGGGCACCTGGTGCTGGCTCACCCCTGCTGGTGGCACGCGACAGACCCCGCGTGACTGCTGGCACGGGGCTTGGGGGGGCCTGGGGGGGCCTGGGGAATTGCAGACGGCCGGGCGATACGTTTAAGTACTGTGGGTACTTCATGCATGAATAATAGCACTCAGTACTGCTCCTACAGAGAGGGGTGCTCTGTGTGTGTGTGTGTGTGTGTGTGTGTTTGTGTGCCCATGTGTGAGTGAGTGTGTGTGTGTTTCTGTGAGTGTATGTGTGCCCATGTGTGAGTGAGTGAGTGAGTGTGTGTGTGTTTGTTTGTGTGTGTGTGTGTGTGTGTGTGTGTGTCTTCCAAAGCAGCTGTCTCCTGCCTAATAGCATGATTTATAAAGGTCTGAAATTATGTTTTCTTTATTAGTTTAATTAGATCTGTAATGAGAATCAGTGGGATGTCATCACCACAGTGTGTGTGTGTGTGTGTGTGTGTTATTTTGACCTTGTGGGGACAATCTTTTCATTCCCCACAAGGGGAAACTTAATTTTATAAAAATCTGTGATTGCAATCTAAAAAGTAAAAATCTAGAATGTCTTGTATTTTGTTTGGTTACTCATGGTTAAGGTTAAGGCTGGGTAAGGCACAGGTCTTGTTTCGCTTTGTTGGGCCTCCTTCCTCTGAACGCCAGCGTGTTGAGGGCCACTGAGGCCATGGGGGGCTGGAAGGGTGAAGGCTTTACCTGTGCCAGCCAATCCCAGGTCCGGTTTGCTTTTGAGTATTAGTGTTGTGCCAGTCCGGGGCCCTTGACCTCACCATAACGCTGCAGCAGTCTGCAGACCTCCTATGCTTTAAATTTGCCCTCCATTATGGATCCTATTATTAAAACCTTAGGTTATTTGTTTTTTCCAGTTACCTTTCAGTTTAATGATCCGTCCTGAACACCTTACGCTGAAACCGTATGCTAACAATGTCATACATGACTGGGTTTGGGGTACCCCCCCCATACATTATTAACCTCTGCACCACAGCCTGTGTTCCCATCCCGGATGGTCAACGCGGCTCGTGGGAGGGATAATACTGGAAGCGATTTCAGCCTGGTGAGGGATGGAACTGTTCTGCAGGACCAGTTGGCCTGTAGCAGAAATGCGGAGAGTAAAACAGGAATGAGAATTTGGCAGCGGTGCCCGTAACTGGAGCCAAGTGGTCAGGGTTTTGACTGGCTGGCTTACGCACCACCTGGGGATTCATCCAGCCTCTTCTCCAACACACGTCCAGCTCCTTGACCGCTATATTTTAACATTTTAACATTTGCTCTGAAGTTAAGAGCGACGCTGAAAAATGCCTCCATTTTATTGATTTCCATGTTTATTTTCACACCAAAACGGTTGTTTTATACCTGGTTTGAATGCGAGTCTCAGTTTTTAATATTCAAATATTCAGTGAATTCTCATTAACAAAAGATAACATTTGAAATTGGTTGGACTCTGTACTCCAGAGATATGTGTAATTAATACATCCAAAGCTTTGTATTATTTAATAAAACGTTACCAGACTCTGGTAGAGTGATTTAGCATCGTGAGAGTGAAAGATTAATGGATAAATCAGATTTGATTTGATTTCATTGTGATTAAACATTGTGAATGTGGAAAGTTATTGGAACAATCAGATTTGATTTGAGTGGAAGACCTGAGATTTACTGATTTAAATTCATCAAAAGACGTCTGAAAATGTCAACAGCTACATAATCTTACAATTTTGTCACGAATATTAACTGCTGTCCCATGTATGTATTTTCTCGTCAAATTTAATTTTATGTTTATAGCTGTGTTGGTGATGGTTTGGTGAAATTCTCCTTCACTGTCTTAAGGTTACTGTTTGGAGAACTGAGATGGCGAAGCAGAAGCTGATTGCTCTTTCGTTTGTTTTTTCTGTTTATATATTCCATCCATCTTCCAACAACTGATACTGGTCTGGGTCATGAGGGGGCGGAGTTTATTCCAGACAGCATAGGAAAGTAGGTGCACCCTGGATGGGATGCTGGTCTATCACAGAGCATGCACCCAGTGTGAGGCCAAATCTGCAGAGGTAGAGTGCCGTGCAAAAGTATTCACCCCCCTTGGCGTTCACTGTATTTTGTTCCCTTACAACCTGGAATTTAAATGGATTTTCAATTTGATTTTAAGTGATGGACCTACAATAAACTACAGATTAATGAAGTTAAAAGGGAGGAAAACTTGTTTTAAATAATTCTGAAAATGATAAAACTGAAAAGTGGTGCGTGCACATGTTTTCACCCCCTTTGCTTTGAAGCCCAAACCGCTACCTTCAAAAACCACTTAATCAGTTAAATAAGATCCAGCTGTGAGAAATCTAAGTGTCAAATGATCTCAGTGTATATACACCTGTTCTGATAGTCAACACCAGTGCATCACCACTAAGTGAGGGATACCACCAAACAGGAGACAGCATGAAGACCAAGGAACTCTCCACACAGGTCAGACACAAAGATGTAGAGAAGTACAGATCAGGCCTGGGTTATAAAAAAAATATCCCAAACCCTGAATATTCCAAGGAGCGCCATTAAATCCATTATTAGAACATCGAAAGATTATGGCACCACAGCAAACCTGCCAAGAGAGGGTCGTCCACCAAAACTCACAGACCGGGAAAGGAGGGCATTAATCAGAGCAGCAAACAAGAGGCCAAAGATGACCCTGAAGGAGCTGGGCGGCTCTACTGCAGAGATGGGAGTAACTTTCCATAGGATCCCTGTGCACTGCGCAGTGCACACTGCACAGAGCTGGGCTTCATGGAAGAGTGGCCAAGAAAAAGCCATTGCTTACCGAAAACAATAAGGCAGAAACATGTGGAAGAAGGTGCTGTGGTGACATGAGGCTAAAATTGAACTTTTTGGCCATCAAGGACAACGCCATGTCTGGCGCAAACGTAACACCTCTCACCATGCTGAGAACACCATGAAGCACAGTGAAGCACGGTGGGGGCAGCATCACGCTGAGAACACCATGAAGCACGGTGGGGGCAGCATCATGCTGTGGGGATGTTGTTCCTCGACAGGGACTGGGAAACTGGTCAGAATTGAAGGAAAGACGGATGGCGCAAAATATAGAGGAATTCTTGAGGGAAACCTGTTTGAGTCTTCCAGAGATTTGAGACTGGGATGGAGGTTCACCTTCCAGCAGGACAATGACCCTAAATACACTGCTAAAGCAATGCTCCAGTGGTTTAAAGAGAAACCGGTAAATGTCCTGGAGTGGCCCAGACCTCAATCCAATTGAGAATCTCTGGTATGATTTACAGATTACTGTATACAAGCGGCGCCCATCCAACTTGAAGGAGCTGGAGAAGTTTTGCCATGAAGAATGGGCAAAAATACCAGTGTCTAAAAGCGGCAAGCTTGTGGAGATGAACCCGAAGAGACTTGTCGCTGTAATTGCTGCAAACGGTGGCTGTACGAAGTATTGACTCCTTGAGGGGGTGAATAGTTATGCACGCTTAGGTTTCCTTTTTTGTGTTATTTCTTGTTTGTTTCACAATAAAAATAAAAATTGCATCTGCAAAGTGGTAATTGTGTTGTGTAAATTAATCGATACAAACCCCCCCAGAATCCCTTTTAAATTCCAGGTTGTAAGGGAACAAGATAGGGAGAATGCCAGGGGGGGGGGGTGAATACTTCTGCAAGGCACTGTACCAATTAGCCTATCTGCACAGCTTTACACTGTGCGAGGACGCCAGGGTGCCCAGAGGAAAACTGCAAACCATGGGGAGGACAAACACACACGCACAGACAGCATGGGGGGGGATCGGAGCCCTCAAGGTGGGGGTGTGAGGTACTACCCACTGGGCCTCCATCTCCGTTTATTTCTGCACCTTATATAAAGTTTAGTGTTCCTGGAAGTGTATTTTAGTGTGAGAACCGTGAACTCCAGTGAACAAACAGGAAAAACTGCTATTTTATTTAGCCAATGCGCCACTGTAAGTGCAGATATAGCACTCGGCTAATTAGTTAATTAACCCATTCGTGGGGATTGACACGGTCTGGGAGTAGTAGCCAAATATGCGTGAGATGAATGCGGGGGCATGTCCTGCTTTTAATGTCAGAGGTAGACTGTGCCAATGAGGGGGAGGCAGCCACATATGGGGGGGGGGGGGCATTGCGGTCCCCCTAGGACACACAGGGCTAATGGTGCTGGAATATGAGCCTTCACACGCATTCTTCCTGCTGAAGCTGCAGCCCTCAGCATCTCCACGACATAGAAGAGAGAAGATACCCATTATGGGAGGGATGACGTTAAGCACTTCCTGGAGGTCTCTCCACTTTACTTCTCACTCGAGCCCTGGTCTTAATTACGCTGCTGCTTTCTGAGTCATTAGCTAGATAAGGGTTCAAAGACTCAGCTTATACACTGGGCTCGACCCGATTCCTAATGAATAGGCCACCAATCGCCCATTTGCCCCTGGGCCGTTTAACTGGGAGCCTCATAGGGGTTGCAAAGATGAGCCGGCCCTTTAAATAAGAGCAGGGCTGCAGGGGAACCACAGGTAAGGAA